GGGCAAAAGGCACCAAAACGGGGTTAGACAAGGTGGCATTCTGAAGTCTCACTTTCTTGTCATCACGATTCCAGGTAAACCATCAGACGGATTTACTTCAAGTTTTCACACATGTTACATGGTAAGAAGTTCTAGAGCTGATTAACTTTGCGGCGGCCATCTTGCATTCTGGCAGCCATCTTGGAATTTTTTTCAGATAAATATTGTCATCGCGATTCCACAAAAACCACATAACAGATGTACTTCAAATGTTCACACATGTTACATGGTAAAAAGTCCTAGACCTCATTATTTTTTCGGTGGCCATCTTGCATTCTGGCAGCCATCTTGGAAGTTTTAAGATAAATCTTGTCATCATGATTTCAGGAAATCCAAACGGATTTACTTCAAATTTACACACATGTTACATGGTAAGAAAATATAGAGGTGAATAACTTTTCGGCAGCCATCTTGCATTCTGGCGGCCATCTTGGATATTTTGGGATAAATCTTGTCATCGTGATTCCAGGAAAAAAACTTAACAGATTAACTTCAAATTTTCACACATGTTACATGGTATGAAGTTAACTTTTCAGTGGCCATCTTGCATTCTGGCAGCCATCTTGGAAGTTTTTAGATAAATCTTGTCATCACGATTCCATGAAAACCACGTAACAGTTTTACTTCAAATTTTCACTCATGTTACATGGAATGAAGTTCCAGAGCTGACTAACTTTTCGGTGGCCATGTTGCATTCTGTCGGCCATCTTGGAAGTTTTTAGATAAATCTTGTCATCACGATTCCATGAAAACCACGTAACAGTTTTACTTCAAATTTTCACACATGTTACATGGTAAGAAGTTATAGAGCTGATTAACTTTCCGATAGCCATCTTGCATTCTGGCGGCCATCTTGGAAGTTTGTAGATAAATCTTGTCATCACGATTCCAGAAAACCACTTTACAGATTTGCTTCAAATTTTCACACTTTATACATTTACATTCACAATGGTCCCTTCCTGGTATATTTTTTTTAGGTTTTATGACTGTTAAATTCTAAAGTCTAGTTAACACCACTCTATAAACAGGCTTATTATTACTGGTGTAACTAACACAATGGAAAAAAATATAATTAATTTATTTGATTTTATATAACATGAAATTATTTTTTCTTTTCGATAAAACATTGCTTATTAGAAATATATTTAGTTGAAAACTTAGAGTAAACAATCAGTTCTTCTATCACAAAGTTTATTTTGGTTCAGTAGATTTTTCTATACATTATTTTTATGTCACCACCACTAGTGATTGGGTGACATATTGTAATAGCTTCGAACGTTTATCTTGACACTGTTCAGTAGTTAATGTGCACTGTATACTTAACAAGGTGTGGTGACATTTTGCATGTTTCTGCATCGTCACTACTATTGAAAGCTTATGTTGATATTGTAGCAGTGTTTTTTTAAGTTCTTTTTGTTGGTACAATTAGTTTCCAAAACCTATAATTATATCGATCTGACACACAGTTTTAGTGCAGGTTTAAGTGATTTTTGTTGATTATTAAACACATGTGTCTCGAACTCGCAACATTGTGGATACAGAGCCCATTCACTTAGTTTGACATGCTGGTGCTCTGAACCAGCTCGTTAGTTAATATCTGACTAAGAGACAGCTTGCTTTCCCGATGAAGAAACGTTATCTGCAGCTTTTATGAGTACTACAGTATCTATAACTATTTTTGATCTTATGAGTATTGGATATCATTATTTTCAATTTTTCTTCAACATGTATTTTAATGACTTCAGTATGAATGGAATGTCCCTCGGAGTTGTGGTCGTTGATGAGGAATTGGTCATTGAACGGTGTGGATGTTTATACCCATATTAGATTATTGTCTTGGGATATTCAGGTTTGATTTTTGTTTGCCAGTTTTACACCTTACAGTTTGCTTTTCCCACTAGGTTGCTTTACACTTTTTTTCCTTTCTCATTTGTCATTTTTGTTAATATTTAGAAAGGATATGATACGCAGGTCTCTCCTTCTGTGTGATCACCTGTCCAGAAGATAATTCAACTGCATGAAGAACATTTCGTTGACATGATGCACAGTGAAAGGTTTTCCACACATTTACATTTTCGTTTAAAAGAGCTTTAATTCCGTTATATACTCAGATCAAGGCCAATTTAGCATACATTTCGCTCTCAAAAATCGCTGTGCAATAATGGATTTCAAAGAAATGTTTGACGTTTTCAATAATCTTTTTTCTTTTTGATGAAATGTAGTTATTTATTCTAAAAATCAATCGATGTCATACACAAAATGCATTTAAGTGGTATAAAGTACAGAAGCAGAGTAAAAATATGTATTTTAGAATATCACCATGTGTTACATTGTAGCGCCTCTTGCCCATGTTTCTATCAATATAAAACATGATATCATACACCAAATATGCATTTATGTCAAATTATGTGGTTTAAAATACAGAAAAATAGATAACATTCTCCTTAGAATACCACCTTGTGTAACCCCACTTTACTGCCTTTTGCCCCTGTTTATATCAATATAAAAGGTAGCATGTAACCTTCCTTGTAACATGTGTAAAAGTTTCAAGAAAATCAGTAAAGTGGTTTTCCTGGAATCACAATGACAAGATTTATCCAAAAAACTTCCAAGATGGCCACCAGAATGCAAGATGGCCACCGAAAGGTTAATTAGTTCTAGAACTTCTTACCATGTAATATGTGTGAAAATTTGAAGTAAATCCGTTTGGTTTTCCTGAAATCGTGATGACAAGATTTATCTTTAAACTTCCAAGATGGCTGCCAGAATGCAAGATGGCCACCGAAAAAATAATGAGGTCTAGAACTTTTTACCATGTTACATGTGTGAACATTTGAAGTACATCTGTTAAGTGGTTTTTGTGGAATCGCGATGACAATATTTATCTGAAAAAAAAATCCAAGATGGCCGCCAGAATGCAAGATGGCCGCCGCAAAGTTAATCAGCTCTAGAACTTCTTACCATGTAACATGTGTGAAAATTTGAAGTAAATCCGTCTAATGGTTTACCTGGAATCGTGATGACAAGAAAGTGAGACTTCAGAATGCCACCTTGTCTAACCCCGTTTTGGTGCCTTTTGCCCCTGTTTACATCAATAGAAGAGGTGTTTTCTTTAAGAGGGAAGTCTGTTCTTTCAAACGGTACAATCATTTTATGTGGGAAAGTACCGGACAACAAAACCCCTTTTCTAGAGCCCTTTTGGAAATCAGATCGGGGACTATTGGTCATATTCTCTACTAAAAACATGTCGGCGATAAAATGAATAAGTGCGCCGTGAATAGGTCGATGCTCTCAGCATAAAACACATAGGAAAACGAAGCTAAGAGACCTAGACGGGTGCCTCGGGCCATCGAACTATACCGTCATATGCATGATTTTTCGGTCGTAATGGCAGAATTGCCTTATTTCATGCTTTGTGAGTCGTGCGATCGAGTCGT